CAGTCCATTCAAATGAATGAGCTACTGTGCCCATGCAAACGTGGGCCGCAAACCCTTAATGGTGTGAACCTAGCCTATGAGAGAATGTTCCATACAGTGGGTTCTCCTCTACTCTTTGGTTTTAGATGTATTTCATCACAAGACTTTTCTGCTCCAAAAAACTGAAGTGAATTTGTGTACCTCATACATATTCAACACAGACCTGTAGGCCTCATTCACATGGGCCTCCTGCATTTGTTTAGTTTAACTGCAGGAGAACTTGATCTGGGAAATACAGTTAGGTTCATATATATTTGGACATAGGCACAATTTTCATACTTTTTGGCTCTATGCCACCAGAATAAATTAAAACGAAACAATCCAAATGACTTTTTGAATTGCAGACTTTCAGCTTTAATTCAAGGGGTTGAACAAAAATATCAAGTACAAATTTTAGGAACTACAACCATTTTTATACACAGTCCTTCCATTTTCAGGGGCTCAAATTTAATTGGTTAAGAGAATATAATCATAAATAAAATGTTCATTTTTAATATTTTGTTGAGAATCCTTTCCTGGCAATGACTGCCTGAAGTCTGGAACCCATGGACTCAGTTGTTCTTTGTGGGTCTTTCTGCCTTTTTAGTTTTGCTTTCAGCAAGTGAAATGCATGCTCAATTATTATTATTATTATACAGGATTTATATAGCGCCGACAGTTTGCTCAGAGCTTTACATTATGGTGGGAGACAGTACACAAGACAGTACAGTAACAATTCAATACAAGAGGGTTTCGAGGGCCCTGCTCCTAGGAGCTTACAATCTAGGAGGGAGGGGATAGTGGTACAAGAGGTAATAACTGTGGGGGATGGAGGGGTTGGAAGAGTAGAAGATTTCAGTACTAGCTGAGGGCAGGGTAGGCTTCCCTGAAGAGAGGTTTTCAGAGTGCGCCTAAAAGGGAGCAGAGTGGGCGATAGTCTGATGGATTGGGGTAGGGAGTTCCAGAGGATGGGGGGGAAGCCCTGGAGAAGTCCTGGAGACGAGCATTGGGTGATATTTTGAGAGACAAGATCGGTGATGTAATTTAGGGCAGTGTTATGAACGGCTTTATATGTCAGTGTTAGCGTTTTGAATTTTATCCGTTGGGCATTTGGAAGCTAGTGGAGGGTTTGGCAGAGAGGGGTGGCAGAACGGTTAGTAAAGTGGATGAGTCTGGCTGCAGCATTCATGATAGACTGAAGTGGGGATAGCCTCAATTGGGTTGAGATCAGGTGATTGACTTGGCCATTGCAGAATATTCCACTTCTTTTCCTTCAAAAGCTCCTGGTTTGCTTTTGCAGTGTGTTTTTAGATCATTGTCCATCTGTACTGTGAAGCGCCATCCAATCAATTTTGCTGCATTTGTTGGAATCTGGGCGGACAGTATATCTCTAAATACTGCACAATTCATCCAGCTGCTTCTGTCTTTTGTCACATCATCAATAAACACCAATGACCCAGTGCCACTGGAAGCCATGCATGCCCATGCCATCTCACTGCCTCTACCATGTTCTACAGATGACGTTGTGTGCTTTGGATCATGAGCTGTTCCAAGCCTTCTCCACACTTTTTTTTTCTTCCCGGCATTCTGGTACAGATTAATCTTAGTCTCATCCTTCCAAAGAATGCTTTGCCAAAAAACATCTAAAAAAGCCAGACCAGTTCTGGAAAAGTCTAATCTTGCTTTTCTGTTCTTCAGGCTTATGAATGATTTGTACCTTGTGGTGAACCCTCTGTATTTGCTCTTGTGAAGTCTTCTCTTGATTGTAGACTTTGACAATGATACACCCACCTCCTGGAGAGTGTCCTTCACTTGTCTGGATGTTGTAAATGGGTTTTTCTTTACCATAGAGAGGATCCTGCGATCATCCATCACTGTTGTCTTCCGTGAATGTCCATACCTTTTTATGTATCTGAGCTCATAGGAAGTGGTTCTTTCTTCAGAATGTACCAAACTGTTGATTTGGCCACTCCTAATGTTGCTGCTATCTCTCTGATGGATTAGTTTTTGTTTTTGAAGCCTTACAATGGCCTGTTTCACTTGCATGGACAGCTCCTCTGATCGTATGATGTAGGTTCACAGCAATAGATTCCAAATGCAAATACCACACAGAGAATCGACTCCAGACCTTTCACCTGCTTAATTGATGAAGAAATAATGGAGTAGCCCACACCTGGCCATGAAACAGCTTTTGATTCAATTGTCCAATTTCTTTTGGTTCCTTGAAAAAGGGGGAGTGGCTACTCTTAAGAGCTGTAATTCCTAAACCCTTCCTCCAATTTGGATGTACATACCCTCAAATTAAACATGAGAGTGTGAACAGTCAGCCCATCTTCATTCTATAACTATAGCTTGAATATGTTTTGGTAAATAAAATATAATATTGCGCTTTTGTATAATAAAAACATATTCACTTGTCAAACATATTCACTATGAAGTCCCTCATACCTATGAAAAACAATTGAATCAGTGAAAAGTGAATCAAATAGTGGCATATAATAGGAAATTCACTTATCATACATATGCACTATGAAATAACATCTATAACCAAAAGAAAGTGATCAAATCGGCAGAAGACAAACCATGGCGTATAGTCCATGCGAACACGCATTACAGTCCGTATGGATATGAGATTCCACGACCAATAGTAAAGCTGTATTTCAATACCGTGAATGTAATTTCAATGTCGTAAATTCTATTTCTCCAAATATTCGTCAATATGTGCACCACCACCACCAAGTAAATAAAATGGAAAACCCCAAATCCACAATCTCAGAAAATTAGAATATTACATGCAATCAATAAAACAAGGATTGTACATAGAACAATATCGGACCTCTGAAAAGTATAAGCATGCATATGTACTCAGTACTTGGTTTGGACCCCTTTTGCAGCAATTACTGTCTCAATGCGGTGTGGTATGGAAGCTATCAGCCTGTGGCACTGCTGAGGTGTTATGGAAGACCAGGATGCTCCAATAGCAGTCTTCAGCTCTTCTGCATTGTTCGGTCTCATGTCTCTCATCTTTCTCTTGGCAATGCCCCATAGATTCTTTATGGGGTTCAGGTCAAGCAAGTTTGCTGGCCAATCAAGCACAGTAATCCCACGGTCATTGAACCAGGTTTTGGTGCTTTTGGCAGTGTGGGCAGGTGCCAAGTCCTGCTGGAAAATGAAGTCGGCATCCCCATAAAGCTCGTCTGCGGAAGGAAGCATGAAGTGCTCCAAAATCTCCTGGTAGACGGCTGCATTGACCCTGGACTTAATTGTGAAAGTCCCCAACACTTTTGAATGGCTTTTTCCTGACAATCCTCTCCAGGCTGCGGTCATCCCTGCTGCTTGTGCACCTTTTTCTTCCACACTTTTCCCTTCCACATAACTTTCTATTAATGTGCTTTGATACAGCACTTTGGGAACATCCAAATTCTTTTGCAATTACCTTTTGAGGCTTTCCCTCCTTATGGAGGGTGTCAATGATGGTTTTCTGCACAACTGTCAGGTCAGCAGTCTTTCCCATGATTGTGATTCCTACTGAACCAGACTGAGAGACCATTTAAAGGCTCAGAAACCCTTTGCAGGTGTTATGGCTTAATTAGCTGATTAGAGTGGGACACTTTGAGCCTAGAATATTGCACCTTTTCACAATATTCTAATTTTCTGAGATTGTGGATTTGGGGTTTTCATGAGCTGTAAGCCATAATCATCACAATTATGACAAATCACGTCTTGAACTATCTTGCTTTGCATATAATGAGTCTCTCATACATTAGTTTCATCTTTTAAGTTGCATTACTGAAATAAATGAACTTTTGCATGATATTTTAATTTTTTGAGTTTCACCTGTATGTGATTTCATAGTGCATATGTATAAGAAGTGAATTTCCTATTATATGCCACTATTTGATTAACTTTTCACTGATTCAATGTTTTTCATAGGTATGAGGGACTTCATAGTGAATATGTTTGACAAGTGAAATTATTTTTTATTCTACAAAGCACAGTATTTTTTATTTAACAAGGTTTTAGAAGAGAGGATATTCTCTTTATATTTGCAGCTTTGTATGATAGAGGTACTGGGAACTTGCGCAGTTTGATCTCTGTACTTTAAAGTTTTGGTAAATACCTGAAAAAAACTAAATCGGTGCCTGTGTCCAAATGTATATGGACCTAACTGTATATGCAAAATGTACCTGAACCTACACATACCGGTAAATCAAATTACATGTGTTTAGGTATGTAATCTGCCCCTGGATGTGTAAAAAATCTCTATTTTTTCAAAGTGGAAATAAACGGAATGCACCTGAAGGCAAGGAAACCGTGTGCAATATACCATTTAAAATTCATGTATTTAGAAATGTATCTCATTGCCAGTGCGAATGAGGCATTACTTCTGTTAACACAGGGACACCCTGGAACTATACCTCCCAAGAACCCTTTTGGGCAGGCTCTGCACTGTCAAGGTATCAGCACTGTTTTGCTGACAGCAAAATCAATGTAGAAAAGGGCTTGGGATAGGAGGATTTCTTTATTCCAGCAGGGGGAACACGGGCAGGTCTGACAACACTGCTTGGGATGTCGGAAAGTTATTGGCTCACTGCAAGAAGTTTGGAGCTCATGGGATTTCTGACAGATTAACGGTTATCTTTCTCTACTCCAATGTTTTAGGAGGCAAAACATGGGAAAATGTGCTTTACAGGGATGTGTGTGTTTTTTTTGTTTTTTTTTAAATATATTCTGACCATTGAACAAGGCAAAGATCAATGTACAAAATGCAGTAGTCCAAATCAAGCAGTCAGCAGTCATATTTATTATTATAATTGCTCCCTACAGGTAAAATCTGCAATGTGCTGCAGGTTACTGTACTAATTTCCCCTTACATTGTCCTCTGAATTAGACAAGCATGATGACGTCACCAGTAATGTCTAGCCTTACTTTGTTTTTCCTGGTTCTTGTTATAATAATATTGCTTTTCCCTTTTCTTTTAGCTGGGTCCTCTGAGTCTGGTGGTTATGGGCATAATTGCTGTACACTGCATGGACCTTCTGGTAAAGTGTGCAAATCACATCTGTCAGAGGTAAACATTGCTGTTTGCACATTATTCTTGTAGGTATCACCATGCTGAATGGTATTCACTCATCAAAGACTTAAATTAGTTTGCTTTTTCCCTGCCACAGTAGTTTAGAAGGGAACTATCAATCTGTAAGCTACTTAAAGTGGTTGTAAAGGAAGAAAGTTTTTTTTTTTTTACCTTTTATGTTTTCTATGCATGAAGGGAAAAAACCTTCAGTGTGCAGCTCCCCCCTCAACCCTGCTTCATACTTACCTGAGCATCTCAATCCAGCAATGTTCACAAGAGCAGCGGCTCTCCCAGGTCTCTCCCTTCTCATTGGCTGAGACACGGCAGCGGGTGCCATTGACTTCCGCTGTTGTCAACCACAGCCAGTGAGTAGGAAGTGGAGGGTGGGGCTGAGATACGCTCTGTGTGTCTTATAGACACATAGAGTTGGCTCAGGGAGCGAGCATACAGTAGTGCTTCCAGAGTAAGCAGCTTGATCCGGGGGCACTCCGCAGAGGGAGATTAATTGGCTGCTGTCTAAATTGGACCTTGTATGTGTATGTATGAATGTGAGTTAGGGACCTAATATTGTACACTGCTTGTGGGCAGGGACTGTTGCGAATGTACAATATATATGTAAAGCCCTGCATATATTGATATCGCTATATAAGTTCCTGTAATAAAATAAATACATTTATATGTTTTTGTTATTTAAAAAAAAAAAAGTGAACCTTTTTTAGTATCACTTTAAACCTATGTTTACTAAAACCCTTGTGAGCCCTATGACTTAATACAAGTATCTTCAATGTGGAGATCAGAGTTCATATTGGTTCTCCGTTCAATATGGATGATGCAAATGCCAGGGGTTTTGGGTAAGTTAGCAGTGCTAAAGATCCCAAATTAGTACTTTTTTTTGCAGGAAAAATTAGTATTTCAGTCCTTTTAACCCCTCCATTTCCGCATGGCACTCATGGATACTGCCATTTTTTACCATCCCTTCTTAATATAAATGCTGACCCAGTGGGTTCAGTACTCTGAGTTGCTGATTCTCACTTTGCTGACCTGTATATTTGTTGCAGGTTAGTAACTTATTTAGTACTGAAATTGGTGCCTCAGCTGTATGTCTCTCATGACAGGTGCACTTTAGCAAAATCAGTGCAAACATTTAAGTTTTCTTCCAACCTTTCATTTGTATAGCAGGATATCTGTCACTTCTGTCAAATTATCACCTGTTTAAAGTAGAGACAGCCACTTTGTAGGATAAGCCAGTGTTAAGGAAAACATAATTTAGATGTCCTTCAAAGACTAGTGACACGATTGCTGTATTTGGAAGTTGATGAGGTGGAAGATAGGTCAGAAATAATTATCGGGCTGAATTGTGTACATTTTACTTGAATGTATTTTAATTTCTATCCACGTGCCCCACTTTAGACTGTTTCTTTATAAATGTCCATGACTTCAAGTAGTTAAAGCAAGCTGATTCAGCAAAAGTGATCGCCTTTATGGATGTGAAAAGAACTGACAACTACCCCCTACATTGCCACTTGGTGGTTTTTGGGCCTTTCCTTTGCAAGCATTGAGATTCATAGTTTGCAGTTTTAACACATATCCAGATGACCACCCAGCAAACAGAGGAGAATATAAGCCTTCAATGCTCCCCCACAAGCCTTGTGTATGGCTACACACACTGCTTTTTGCAAAAAACGTGGTAAAATGTGTTTTTGCTGTGTTCTTGCCATGTTCTACACCTGAGAAAAAAAGGACGTTACTCAAAAATTTACTAAACATTCATCAGGGTGGGTGGGTTTTTGCCCCCCCCCCTTTTTTTTTTTGCAGTTTAACTTCAATGGGGATGTGCGGTTTTGGTGTGTGTGCACCCTCAACTCACCAGTGACCAGTGAGTTCCATAGGACTTAATGATCAAGCGTTTTTCTTCCGCTTTTTTTTTCATGCAAAAACAGAAGAATATTGGATCAGTGTGAAAGCAACATATGTCCTGTAGAAGCGTTCCATGAGTCTGTAGTGTCTTGGTCCTCAGCCAGTTGCTGGTGTAATTGTCCCTTCCTGAAGCTTCTGTCAGCTCACATATGTGTCAGTAGACTTCTTCACATATTCCTCTTGCTAATTTTCTCAAAAATAGACTAGAAACCTTACAGCAGCTGGAATTGGAGAAGAAAGTGTTCATTCAACATCAATGTAACCATGAAATGGAGAAGCAGAATGATGAAAAATGTACAACTTAGGCCTCTTTTACGTCTTTCCCACTAATTGGGTAACCTGGAATTCTGCCACAAAGTTGCTTGTATTATGTGAAAGACCTAATTACACTAAAAGCTCTGTATATTAAAGGTCCCAAAAATGGACAAACAATCAACATATCTGCCCTAACGAATTTGACAGCTGATGGTTTTCTTCCGTGGATTGTTTATAGGAAGTCACCTTTTTGATAGCTTCAAGTACACCCTTCCGTTTCCGCAACCTGCATTCTATTTAGGGTCTCCACATGTCACAATCTGACTATACAATCAACTTTAGATTTACCAAAACTATTTAAAATGGGGACCTACCTAAACTATCAAATCAGGCGATCTCTTGCGATACATAGTTGTTTGGTAGATCTAAAGGAAATGTTTCTATGGGACATGTGTGTGATGAGCTAAAGAGGCAGAAAGCAGTTGTGAACACAGGTGCCAGCATGTACTTCACATATGCACATTACAATTTTAGCTTCTGAAGTCAAGCATAGATCTGCCCATTGTAGTTATGGACCAACAGTGATGCTGCCCATACATACCTGATAATTACAAGGGAAGCTGCTGACTCAAACATCACTTGCAATAATTGGATGATTTCTGAACTCACAGAGGATGGTAAAATGCATCTTCTGAGATTGAAACCTTTTCTTAGTTCAAACAAGTGTCACAGATGGTCCTGGCAGTCAGGGAACCTGTTCCAACAAAGACATCTCTTCCTATTGGGAAGGTATCTGTCTGTGATTAAAAACAAAAAAGGTTCACCATACACTACATTTTTCTGATTCTACAATCTTTTTTAGATCTGCTGTCAACTATCTAGCTCAGAAGCATGCCTGATTTGATACAAATTTTTACCTAGTTTTGGTAACTTTAAGGGTAATAGTTCAGCGTTTATAATATCAGATTTGTATAGTATCTGACCAGCCTTAGACATAGGAGACTGGGCCTGAGCCCCAACTTTAGGAGCTGAAGTCAAGATTTGCAGAAAAGATCTTCCCATATTATGAGGCTCTTGGGATGCTCAGCAGTGTGAATGAAAGTGTGGTGAAGCCCTCAGGATACCTGCTTTTCAGACCTGTAGTCATAGGTGGGTTTAACACCGGTTCATTTCAAATATTATTTGTACCTAAACTGCATAATCATCCATAAATGTTAACACTTAAATGGCTTTTTCAGAAAATAGTTTATACCATACATGTTTAATGTCCCAGTGAAAGTAACCGTTGCTTTGTTTTTTGTCTTTTGAAATTTTTTTACCTTTCTTATATGTACCAATGTTATATGTTATTTGTTTTGTGTTTTTTTTTTTTTGTGCTCAAGGAATCAGCGCCCATTTGTGGATTATGGAGATGCTGTGATGTGTGGGATGGAATACGCACCCAGCCATTGGTTAAGAACAAACGCCATTTGGGGAAGGTACACTTCATCATAACGAGATTGGGTTTTGAATGAATTTGTGCCAGATACTGTATTTGTCATAGGGTTACAAACTTGCTATCAGTTTTCAGCCACAGCAATCTTCCACTCACTGTTTTCATAATTTCCCAGTAAGTAGCCATATAATACGAAACTGGTTTAGAAATAGATTGAAAGATTATCTGTATTTTCACTAGCCCTGCATTGATTTTCCTCATTTTTTCCATTTCACTGAGCAGCTGGGGATTGGGTTTTAGGAGGTGACTGAAATCCTGGGAGGCAGAATGCTGTGGCAGAGAGCTGATTGACTTCTCAAAAGTTGCCATCACATTTGTATAGACAGCATCAGGCTTGTAAAAGTACTTCTTGGAAACCTGGAGGCACCGTTTGTTCATGAGACATCCATGTAATAACCTGGTGAGATTCCACAGTCCTATAGCTCAGTTAATTTCCTAGGGGAAAATGTTGAAATTTACTGGTTTCATTTGCATATATCTACCATTGTGCTGTGACCATCAATAACATTGATTAAATGAATGGCTTTGTGTTGTTTGTCTGCCAAGTAATGCGAGCAACAGCAAGCACTGTGACAGGTGGTCACCAGGACAGGAAACAATGGGAAATCCGCTCAACAGGGACACATGCAGCGGTGAAAGCCTGATGGTGGTTTCAATCTGTAACCACTCTACCCAAATTGGCTGGAATAGGAAATTTTGAGTCTGGGGCATTTGTTAAAAACTTACATGTGGTGGTGCAGTTGTCTGTCAATTTTTTTTCCATTCTTTTTAACATTTTTTTTTTTTGCGTTCTTTAAGGTAGTCTGCAGACTGTTCTTTTAGACTACCAAAAAGTAGAGCGCAACCATGTAGAAACGCTAAAGTGAAAAATTATATATATATATATATATATATATATATATATATATATATATATATATATATACCGGTGTGTATATATATTAGTCCCATTCCTGTTTAAAACTTACTGTAATGTGACATTACATATACTCTCAGCTCCTTATATTCTCCTGAAGAAGTGGACTCTCATTCTTGAAACACATCAACATTTTCCAACACTCCCTCCTCATTGCAGGGTATATTGTCTATTTTGTTGAAACCTATAACTACATTTTATAATGGTATAATGGCCGTATAGTCGGTGGGTTTTAGGCGGTGGGATGGATAGTCACTTAATGTTCACACGATCTATAGAATGTGTTTTGGCATATTTTATATCATTAATATAATTACATTTTCACAGTAAGGATACTGTACCAATATCTGTGCAATTTTGGCCTGAACTTCAAAGTTGTCCTGGCAGATGGTGTGCCCTGACAAATCTCTGCATCGTATACACAAGTAGTGTTCTGCACATAACTACTGAGACCTGTCAGAGTCCATGAGAGCAGACCTGAGGATCTCAAATCTTTGTGATTTGTAGGGAAACCTTTTAGGGCTCATTTACACTTGCTTCGATACACAATAAAGCGCTCACCACTTCAACCTGCTTTTTTGGTGTGTTGTTGATGCTTCAATGAGGTTTTTTTTTTTTTTTTTGTTTTTTGAAGCTTTAATGAAACTTGGCAAATGCCCTGTGTGTGTTGATTTCCGATTTGTTTTAAAGGGGTCCAGTAAAACCCTAGCTCATTAGTACCCCTGTTCAGCAGATCCCCAGCTCATTGGCACCCTTGTTCAGCAGATTCACAGTTTATTAGTATCCTCATTCAACAGATTCCCTGCTCAGTAGTACCGCCAGCTCTGCTGATCCCCTCCCATTCAATAGTAACCCTCAGCTCTGCTGATCATCTGGTTTGCTGATCCTCTCTCTCTGGTCCTTCTATGGAGGCTTTGGAGACACTTTGAAGCATCAAGAAAGCAACATGGGGTATCATTTTTTTTAAAGTAAAGCAAATGCAAACTAAATAGGACTGTAACCTTACTATTTTATTTAGTGACAGGTGCTTTGATTGGCATTCAGAGTGCTTTAAAAAACTGATTAAAAACAAGACCGTGGTTTTGCTGTATTCTCTGCAGCTATTATCAGAGATGGCCACTACTATATGTGTATCACAAATATAAGGATAATCTACAAATCTGTGAAATTCAGTCTTTAAAGCATAGTTTTAACCCAACCCTTCCCAATAATCCCCCCTTGAGTCCTCTTGACACCTTGGCCTGTTAAGTGGTATGTTGAATCATGCTGGGGTATCATTCTGCCTAGAAGAGGAGCAGCACAAGACCACAAGAGAGAACGCATGGGGCAGCACTGAAACTTGGAGAGGGTGAGTACTTCTTTGTAATGTGTTTTAACAGAGGTGAGGACCCATATTAAAAAAAAAAAAAAAAAAAAAAAAACCAGCAAGGCTGATGTTGTCCCTTAATAAATCTAGAACACTAAGCTTGTGTTTAAAAAATAAAAAAAAAAAGTCAGTGAAATAACCTACTTACAGTCAAATATTGCAAAAATTCTGATACGGAAACGATGTAGTATGGAAATATACAGATTTTCGTTTTTTTTAATAGCAAAATTGCTTTGTAATGTGAGCATTTTCAGATTAGCGGTATCCTGGTCACCATAAGTACATAGTACTCATTTACGATTGGTTTTAATTTGGTATATAGATATACTGCTAGAAAGATGCATAAATTAATGTTTCTAATTATGGTTGGCCTAATTAAACATTGTTTTTTTGTTTTTTTTGTAGGAGAATGGTTGGCTTCTTCCTTATTCTGACACAGTTGGGATTCTGCTGTGTTTACTTTGTGTTCCTGGCTGACAATGTTAAACAGGTATCTACTAATAAAGAAGCTTTTAAGAATGTCCTGTAACCCATAAGGTTTCACTTTTAAATTTATACATTCAGTTTAACTGAAGCTAAAAAGACCCAGACAGCAATAAAATCCTGACAGAAGTTTTGAATTGAATTGATTTTTATTAAAATGTTTAAAGTTGAACTTCAGACATATATAAACATGCCAGTGAAGTCCGTTTTTGTATTTATTAAAATCTGAAAGGGTTTACATGTATTTTAAATGTAACTGTCCTTAGTACATGGATTGCACTTGGTAGCAGCCTCCTATCATTGCTTGTAGAGCAGCAGTCTGAGCACACTAAATGAAGGAAAGCTAAAGACTGATGAAGTCACTTCTATGCTCTCTCTTCCAATTAGCGTGTTTCGATGTGCTGATGGGCACATATGTACATTAGTTAACAAAAAACATGCTGATTGAGGAAGAAAGAATAGAAATGATCTCTGAAATCCTATCTCTTCAGGGAAGCCTATCCTGCCCTCAGCTAATAATGGAATCTTCTATTCTTCCTACCAGTCCATCCCCCACAGTTATTACCTTTGTACCACTAGCCCCTCCCTCTTAGATTGTAAGCTCCAAGGAGCAGAGCCCTCTTAACCCTCTTGTATTGAACTGTATTGTTGCTGTATTGTCTCCCGTTATATTGTAAAGAGCTGAGCAAACTGTTGGCGCTATATAAATCTGTTTATAATAATAATGTGTGTAATAATCCGTCTTTTTTGCCTTTCCTTCTTTATCCAGTCATGGGCTGGTGGAAAGGAGATGACCAGGCCGTGTTGCTCAAAGAGTTAGTTCCCCTTTACAAAAAAAAAACCTGCCGGTGCAGGTATGGGACGCTAGATAAAAATAAATTGTACAGCTTTGACTAAAGTTGAATATCGTCCTTGCTTTAGGTATAGTCCATTTACATACCTCACAAAGCCTTAACTGAAAACTCTCAGGATGTTGATAGGACGTTGCTAAGGGAGGCCCAGTGACTACTGTTTATCTTCACTATCACAGGACTGAGCTCTCAAATGCTGAGCCCAGTGCTATTGTATCTGGGGGGAGAACGCATTTGAGGAGGTTTGAATCCAAGAAAGAACTTACTTCTGTGATGGTAAAGGTGAACAATAATAGCTTGACCTCTCTTGGCAACATCCTGGGAGTTTTAAGGTCAGGCTTCATGAGGTACGTAAATGGCCCACACCTATATTAAGGGCATTATTCAGTTTTGGTCAAAGCTGCATGTTTGTTTTTATCTACAGACATTCCTTATCGGCATAGGCAGTTTTTTGATAAAAGAACAATGTCTTTAAGGTCTCATTCACACCATAGTGCAGAGACATCAGTTTTTCTGCACGCATTTTGCAAGAGCACAAAGAAAACAATTGTTACCTATGTGCCCTGTCCACACCACAACACTAGTATCGTGTGGTTTTTTGTCTGTGTAGGAATCTGCAACGTTTATAAAACTCATTGACACTCCCATGAAAACTGATGTAAGCTTGTGTCTCTGCAAGTGAAATCTGCATGTCAGTTTCCATCATTTTTCATGCATGATTGGTGTGAACGAGCCCTAAATACAGTAGAGAAATGTCAGATTAACGGCCTTGCTGTGCTGTATGATGGGGATGGACAGAAATGAGAATCCTTTTAAAGTAAAATAGCTCTCATATATGTGTATTTCAGTGCTTGGTCTGGAGTTCAGTTTTAATGATACAGTAAAAAAATAATTTCATGATTTATTGTAAATGAAAGTCTGTTGAATAGAACTAAGTAACATGCTTGTTTCTGCGGTACATGCAGCTCTGAAGTCTGAAAAGAATTTAGAAACTGCCTTTGTTTCCTTAGTTCATGTTCATAGTGCCACTCTCTGGCTTGTCCTTTTTTAATAATAAATGTGTGGTTTCCAACATACGAAGGCCAAACTTTAATTTCTGATCTTTAAAAAAAGCTGTTCGCAATCTATTTATTAGAAACCAGAGAAAAAAAAATTCAGGAATGAAAGTGGGTTGTTGGATTTTAGCAGTTATAGCAGTTAGTAAGGACCAGTTCACACTCGTGTGCTAAAATGGATGTACATTTCCAGCCATTTTAGTCACACGCTGACACCCGTTGACATACATTTTAACGTCCATTGGCATACATTTTAGCATGCGTTAAACCTTTCTGCCTTCTCACAGGACATTCTGTGCATTGCGTTAACATCCACTTACATCTGTTGTGCTAAAATGCATACATGCTGCATTTTAGCGCAATAACGCAGGTCAACACAACATTATAGTGTGAATAGGACACATTAGAAATATTGTTTTTCAAATGTCCTTCTGTTGATCTGCATTTTACAGCTGCGCTGAAATGCAGATCAACACACTGCTGTGAATTGACCCTTAATCTAAGTTTTGAAGTTAGATTCTACTACTTTTCTTGAAAAATAAAAAAAGAATCTTATTGTTCACAATGAGCACCAACTCTATGTTTGCTCCAGTCTTCTTGACTCTATCTTTTTATTTATTTATTTATTTTAATAATAAGGTCCATCTCTGTGTTCCAACTCCCCCGTTTACATTCTTTGTTTAAAAAGAAACAAAAAAAAAATTTGCGACAAGCAGGGTGCAACCGGCCATGATGGTCACATCGTTGCGCAGACTCTGTAACCCATATTCAGAGATTAATACAGCATATTAAGCAGGCCATAGATGGATTGAATCTTAGCCAGTTCAGCAGGGATTGGCCAAAATCTATGGGCAGGCTGGGTATACTGAAGTCACTCCATAGCAAATTCCGTGGGAGCCCAATGGACCCAAGGTCGATGATTAATTTTTAATAAGATTTTTTTTTTAAACTATATTAAAGTTAAGTAGTTTTAAAGGCTACCAGTTTTTTTTTACTTTCATGCATGAAGGTAAAAACCTTCAGATTTCAGCCAACCCCCCCCCCCCACCTTATACTCACCTAAGCCCATTCATGATCCAGCGACGTGCATGGAAGCTCTCCCAGGACTCTTTCTCCTCATTGGCTGAGGCACTGCAGCAGGAGTCATTGGCTAGGAGGGAGCACACAGAGGTGGCTCAGGAGTGAGCACTCACAAGTACCCCCAGAGCAAGCAGCTTGCTCTTGGGGCATTCAGCAGGGTTGAGGAGCTTGGAGAAGAAGAGGAGGAAGAGAAAAGGAGGATCGGGGCTGCTTTATTGCTTTATGCAGAACAATTGCTCAGAACATGTAAGTATGACATGTTTGTTATTTTAATACAAATCTGAACCCCTTACAATCACTTTAAGGTATATTGTACCATATTGGGAATGTATACATGCAGAGTTTGTAAAGTTAATGAAAACTATGGTAAGATGTTATAGGCTCAATTCACAAAACTTATACACCCTAGTAAGCCTGGGTTCACATCTGTGCGGTATATCACATGTGATTCACACAGGAACTGAACTGCACCGCATTCCTGTGCAAATCACGTGATTTGTGTGCGGTGCGATTGGAGCCATACATGTTGTGTGGCTCTAATTGCACTGCACCCAAACCAAAAAACGTGCAGGACCCTTTTTCGGGTCTGCACTAGAATTCGTGGTGCGATTCTGCACATTGCACCGCGTTTTGCAGACCGATTTCGAGGTGGTGTTGTTAACATACACACCCGCAGTGGTTCGCATGAACGGGGTGCGATTCTGATGGCAGTGCGGAATTCGCACTGAAAACACTGTGAATTCCGCGCTGCATCAGTGTGAACCAGGGCTGAGGATACTTTACTTTCAAAAACATTTCTAAAAAATAGTGTCGTAGGCTTGTGTTAAAGCTTTGTGAAATGTGCTTAATATAGTCACTGTCTCTCTTTTAGGTGGTAGAAGCTGCTAATGCCACTACAAATGACTGCAGTTCAAATGTGACAGTGATACTGATGGAGAGTATGGACTCCAGACTTTACATCTTGTCCTTCCTGCCATTCCTCATACTTTTAGTCTTCATCAAGAACCTGCGCTATTTGTCTGTCTTCTCGCTGCTTGCAAACGTGGCCATGTTGGGAAGTGTCGTCATGATCTACCAATATATTGGAAGGGTGAGTAGCTATTGAAAAGAAATCTAAAGACATAAATAAAACAATGGGAAAAGTGGGCATTGTCTACAGGAACCAATCAGATCCCTGCTTTGTTGTAACCTCACTAGACAAATATTATCTGATTTTTCCGGCAGAACCTCTGCTTTTTCCCCGGCAGAACCTCCCTCTGCTTTTTTTTTTTTTTTCCTTCCTGCTTTTATTGATTTGGTCACCTGAATAAGTACAGTCTATTATTTATATGTATTCACAACCTTTGTCCTGCTTCAATAAATATACTTTCAGATGTCCTAATTGAATACATTTTAATTAACCTAATTTGCAATGAGGTCATACATTCCACCTCCATGAATGTGAAAAATTGCTAGCCATTTAATAATCCTGATCTGGACCCCTCCAGGCTCCAAAATCCTAAAAAAAACTTTTGTTGGTTTGGTTTAAAGACATTTCATTTGTGTTTCCAAGGCACTAAAAGTAAACCAGATAATAAATCTTTAGGCCCCTTTTACACTGGTGTGCTTTTACAGCGATTTTTCCAGGGCGACAAAAGCACACAAACTATTCTTTGTTAAATCCTATGTAACTGTTCACCGCACGTGCGCTTAACTTTTGCAAAGTCCTGCATACTGCATCTTTGTTGCAGTTTTTCAAAAGCACACTAAAAAGCACCTTCCACTGTAAGTCCAAATACAGTATTTGTTCAGTGTTTCAGGTCAGGTTTACATCAGGTTCAGGAGAGGATTAGCTCAGGAACTTATCCTGTTCACACATACCGTATTTTTTTGCTCCATAAGACGCACTTTTTTCCCCAAAAAAATGGGGGGGAATGTCTGTGCGTCATATGGAGTGGCAGGCCCGGTATTCCCCCCTATGATAGAATACCAGGCCGGCCGCTTTGCTCTTCTCTGCAGACCTCCTGCGGTCTTACCTGTTCCTCGGTCTTCTTTCCCCGGCGCTGGCATGGGCACCCGGCTGTGACAGCTTGCGACTTCACAGCCAGGTGCCCACTGCTCATGCACGAGAAGCGCGGCGCTTTGTGAATGGCCCTGTAATCTTCTGGGACCTGTCACGTGTCCCAGAAGAATACGGGGAGGGAGGACAACTCCGCAGAAGTGGGAGCGGGTACCTGTCAAATTCGGGTACCCGCTCTTCCCCCCCCCCCCCCCCCTTTGCTCCCCAAAGCTCCGCAGTCTCTGGTCATCCCCTGTATTGTGTCCGCAGTCTCTGGTCATCTCCTGTAGTATGTCCGCAGTCTCTGGTCATCTCCTGTAGTATGTCCGCAGTCTCTGGTCATCTCCTGTACTGTGTCCGCAGTCTCTGGTCATCTCCTGTAGTATGTCCGCAGTCTCTGGTCATCTCCTGTAGTATGTCCGCAGTCTCTGGTCATCTCCTGTAGTATGTCCGCAGTCTCTGGTCATCTCCTGTACTATGTCCGCAGTCTCTGGTCATCTCCTGTACTATGTCCGCAGTCTCTGGTCATCTCCTGTAGTATGTCCGCAGTCTCTGGTCATCTCCTGTAGTATGTCCGCAGTCTCTGGTCATCTCCTGTACTATGTCCGCAGTCTCTGGTCATCTCCTGTACTATGTCCGCAGTCTCTGGTCATCTCCTGTACTATGTCCGCAGTCTCTGGTCATCTCCTGTACTATGTCCGCAGTCTCTGGTCATCTCCTGTAGTATGTCCGCAGTCTCTGGTCATCTCCTGTACTATGTCCGCAGTCTCTGGTCATCTCCTGTACTATGTCCGCAGTCTCTGGTCATCTCCTGTACTATGTCCGCAGTCTCTGGTCATCTCCTGTACTATGTCCCGCAGTCTCTGTCATCTCCTGTAGTATGTCCGCAGTCTCTGGTCATCTCCTGTACTATGTCCGCAGTCTCTGGTCATCTCCTGTACTATGTCCGCAGTCTCTGGTCATCTCCTGTACTATGTCCGCAGTCTCTGGTCATCTCCTGTACTATGTCCGCAGTCTCTGGTCATCTCCTGTACTATGTCCGCAGTCTCTGGTCATCTCCTGTACTATGTCCGCAGTCTCTGGTCATCTCCTGTACTATGTCCGCAGTCTCTGGTCATCTCCTGTACTATGTCCGCAGTCTCTGGTCATCTCCTGTACTATGTCCGCAGTCTCTGGTCATCTCCTGTACTATGTCCGCAGTCTCTGGTCATCTCCTGTACTATGTCCGCAGTCTCTGGTCATCTCCTGTACTATGTCCGCAGTCTCTGGTCATCTCCTGTACTATGTCCGCAGTCTCTGGTCATCTCCTGTACTATGTCCGCAGTCTCTGGTCATCTCCTGTACTATGTCCGCAGTCTCTGGTCATCTCCTGTACTATGTCCGCAGTCTCTGGTCATCTCCTGTACTATGTCCGCAGTCTCTGGTCATCTCCTGTACTAATGTCCGCAGTCTCTGGTCATCTCCTGTAGTATGTCCGCAGTCTCTGGTCATCTCCTGTAGTATGTCCGCAGTCTCTGTCATCTCCTGTAGTATGTCCGCAGTCTCTGGTCATCTCCTGTAGTATGTCCGCAGTCTCTGGTCATCTCCTGTAGTATGTCCGCAGTCTCTGGTCATCTCCTGTAGTATGTCCGCAGTCTCTGGTCATCTCCTGTAGTATGTCCGCAGTCCTCTGGTCATCTCCTGTAGTATGTCCGCAGTCTCTGGTCATCTCCTGTAGTATGTCCGCAGTCTCTGGTCATCTCCTGTAGTATGTCCGCAGTCTCTGGTCATCTCCTGTAGTATGTCCGCAGTCTCTGGTCATCTCCTGTAGTATGTCCGCAGTCTCTGGTCATCTCCTGTAGTATGTCCGCAGTCTCTGGTCATCTCCTGTAGTATGTCCGCAGTCTCTGGTCATCTCCTGTAGTATGTCCGCAGTCTCTGGTCATCTCCTGTAGTATGTCCGCAGTCTCTGGTCATCTCCTGTAGTATGTCCGCAGTCTCTGGTCATCTCCTGTAGTATGTCCGCAGTCTCTGGTCATCTCCTGTAGTATGTCCGCAGTCTCTGGTCATCTCCTGTACCGTGTCTGCAGTCTCTGGTCATCTCCTGTACCGTGTCTGCAGTCTCTGGTCATCTCCTGTAGTATGTCCGCAGTCTCTGGTCATCTCCTGTAGTATGTCCGCAGTCTCTGGTCATCTCCTGTAGTATGTCCGCAGTCTCTGGTCATCTCCTGTAGTATGTCCGCAGTCTCTGGTCATCTCCTGTACCGTGTCTGCAGTCTCTGGTCATCTCCTGTACTGTGTCTGCAGTCTCTGGTCATCTCCTGTAGTATGTCCGCAGTCTCTGGTCATCTCCTGTAGTATGTCCGCAGTCTCTGGTCATCTCCTGTAGTATGTCCGCAGTCTCTGGTCATCTCCTGTACCGTGTCTGCAGTCCATTGGTTCAGAATATTTTTTTTTCCTGTTTTTCAATTACACAGAATCAGCAGCATGACTGTTGGGTCTGTTGGATTTCTATTACTCTACTACACCTGCTAGTAAATTATTTGCCATGTAGAAATATAATTTCTACCAAAAACAGCGATTGATCAGGTTAGTGATGTCTGACTGCTATTATTTTGAACACAACTGTATATGTGATTTGGCACGAAGTCTCTTTTCTTATTTTATCCCCAAACTAATAATTTCATATTATTTAGTTCATTCTTCTCTGTTTCTAGGATATTCCAGACCCCTCTCATCTTTCCTACGCTGCCAGCTGGAAAACCTACCCCCTCTTCTTCGGAACTGCTATCTTTGCCTTTGAGGGCATTGGAGTGGTAAGTGGCTGTTATTCTATTATCTTGCAATAGCTGCTGTGTTACATTTAATAATTTTGGTATTGGAACTTTAAAGCAGAACTAAACTGCTCCTGAATTACCTCCCTCCAGCACTCTTCCGCTCCCCCATTTTTAGAAAAAACTGGGTAGGCATTTGAGAGCTGGAAGAGACCAGCGGTGAACTTGCGGCAGATTTCCACATATCACACAAATGCTGCAGGCTTCTGGTGCAATGGAAATATAGTGCCCAGCGGCATTTGTGTGCTTGCGCAGAAATCCGCTGCACATGCGCTGCAAAGTTGTGGCTTAGTAACCCACTGCCTTGCAGTATAACTGTGACTAGCAATCTAGGAGGGAGAAGGGCCTGGCCTAGGCCAGATACTAGGACATGCTGCCTTGTAGCACAAAAAGCAAATGCTAACAATTAGAATAAGCTTTTGTATTTGTAAGGAGGAGCAAAATAAGAAATTTAGTTGTGGGAGTTTGGTTCTGCTTTAGGACTCGGGGTTCCCCCTCTCACCCCTCCAATTTCTCCCCAGGCTGCATTTTATACTATTTTTTTTTTTTTTTTTTTGTCTTCTTCAGTGCTTGCCTTTTCTAGGTATCTTCAGGCTTGTGATGTGACAGGTCACCTAAGGGCCAGTTCACACCAGGAACTGCGTGTGATTAGCACAGGAACGCTGTGTGGTTGGTTCCTGTTTGAATCACATGCAGTTCTGTGCGTGCAACTTCAGCCAATTCATTTTGAATGAGCTGAAACTGCACCACACGATAAGTAGTGCATGCACTACTTTTGGAAATGCACTGCAACCGCATTGCACGGAACGTTTTGTAACATGATTTGGTGCAGGCAAACGAAACTGCGCTTGCAACCTACTTTTGGGGTATCATTAACTTATTGACACCTCCTGCAGATCGCAAATGGAATTAGTTTTGAACGCAGTATGGGAAATGCGCACAGAACGCGGGTTTCCCACACTGCGTTTTGGTGTGAATTGGCCCTAACTCTTGATCTTCACCTGGCGCTGGTTAGTCTTAGGTGATGCAGAGAGCAGCGTTTGCATGGCCAGTGCAGCTTTCACCATAATTACCTTGTTAGTGTAGGGTGCTATGGTGATTGCCTTTCTGACAAGGCAGGTCCATGACACCCTACATTCACAGTATGTCCTTCTCCCAGGTTTATTAATGCTGAGCTTCAACAAGAAATGAGATTTGGTGGCCAAAAAAGAATAACTGTGGGGGACTGTTAAGAAGAAAAAAAAATTGTTCAAAGTTGGGCTTTAATTGTTAGCACTTCAAGCTAGCGGTGCTGGTGCTTGGAGTTCATTTCCCAGTATTAATGGATCTATTTATCTGTGTTTTCATCCAAGAGTGTTACAAATTTCACCCATTTTCTACTTGAATCATGTGCAACAATGGGTGTGAAACTTGAGGTAACCACCAAGTCTGTTTGCCTGGATGCTTTTGTGCATACTTTTGATGTATAGGTAAGTTGTTGTCCTTGCACACTTATCCCAGATCAGTAATTGAGTAGTAAATCTGGAGGAATAGCATAACAAGGCTTTCATGTTAATTGCGGTGTAACAAAGGTGATGTGGGCGCCACTAAGCTACCGCTGGATATTGCCGTTCTTAACTGCTGTCATACTCCCTGCTTGACAGAAGATGCAATAGATGCCAGTAGGGGCCTGTGAAAAATGGTATGTGAACTGCAGAGAGATCCTTTCTGAAAGGAGCTAGTTACTGCTATGCTCTTTTTTTTTTTTTAATCTGTGTGCTCTGGGAATCCTTTTGTTATGTATTAAAGAAGTACTCCAGTTTTTTTCTTAGTTTTACATTGTCTCTTTGCTCCCCTTGCCTTTTTAAAAAAACGTCTTCATGCATATGTTTTTTTCACGATAGACACGTGATTTACCCTGATTTTATTTTCACTTCCTCTCCTTGTGGCATTGGGCAGTTTTTCAGTACCCCAGAGGATGGAACCACTGCTGTAACCACTGGAGGGTCAACTTGGCCATGTGCTTGGGGTCATTGTTATGCTAGAAAGTCCAGGAGCAATGCAAATTGTCTGAAAGTATTTTCTGATGACATCCCTTTTCACAAGATTCTCCTTGTCTTTGGAGCTCATCCCCACCCCCCCAAAACATCAGTGAGCCACCACCCTGCTTCATGGTGGGCATGTTATTCTTGTCACTATAGGCCTTATTGACCCCTCTCCAAACATGGCGCTTATTGTTGTGACCATAAAGCTGTATTTTGGTCTTGCCACTCCAGATTAAAGCATACTAGAAGCTGTGAGGCGTGTTAAGGTGTTGTCGGACATATTGTAACTGGACATTTTTATGGCATTGGCGCAGTAAAGGCTTTTTTCTGGCAACTAAACCATGCAGCTCATTTTTGTATCATTGTATTTTGCTCTTTGGAACAACCACATTGTTTCTTTCCAGTGCAGCTTTTATTTCTTCTGAGATTACTTGTAGGTTTTTCTTTGTATCCCTAACAATTCTTCTGGTAGTTGTGGCTGTGATCTTTCATGGTCTACCTGAACTTGGCTTGGTATTTCCCACATGTAATTAAACAGTACTGACTGGCATATTCAAGGCTTTGGATATCTTTTTATATCCTTTTTCCATCTTTGAAAAATTCCATTACCTTGTTACGCAGGTCTTTTTTTACAGTTCTTTTCTGCTCCCCATGGCTCAGCCTGCATCCACGTGAGAGCTAATTAACTGATCGATTATTTATACACAGACACTTATTGCAATTCAAAAAGCCACAGATGTGGGAAATAACCATTTTAACCTGTGTGTGTGTGTGTGTCACCTTGTGTGTCTGTACCAAGGCCAAACATTCCAGGGTATGTAAACTTTTGATCAGGGCCATTTGGGTGATTTCTGTTTTATTCTTATGAGTTAAAAGGAAGCAAACAACTGTTACAATAAATAGCTTTATATGATAATTATCCATAAAGTGGCTCTGAAGTTTCAAGGTCTTTTACCATCATGTATTCTATTCATGAAGGTTAAAAAACCTTGTGTGCAGTGGCCCCTCAAGCTCCCCCCCCCCCCCCCCCCCCCCCCCCCATCCTTATTTTATTTATTTCACATCGGTCCCTAACCCTCAAAGGGCATACAATCTAAGGTCCCTAACTTACATTCATACACATACTAGGGCCAATTTAGACAGGATCCAATTAACCTACCAGCATGTCTTTGGAGTGTGGGAGGAAACTAGAGTACCCAGAGGAAGCCCACGCAGGCACAAGGAGAGAATGAAAACTCCAGGCAGGTGGTGCCCTGACTGGGATTTGAACCAGCGACCCTAGTACTGCCAGGCAGAAGCACTAACCATTTAGCCACTGATCTGATCCCCTGTCTGGGAACTCTCCCAATGGTTTCCGGCGGGTCAGGGCCAAGCAGCTGCTTTATGTGTTGTATGGATGCAAATGTGGTGTTTTATATAGCAAAAAAAAAAAAAAGTGATTAAATACCACAAAAAGAAAGCTCTATTTATGTGAAAAAACATGAGAAATTTAATTTGGGTACAGTGTTGCATAATTGAGCAATTACCAGTTAAAGTAGCACAGTGCTGAATAGCAAAAAAATGCCATGAAATGGTCATGAAGGGGTAAAACCTTCTGAAGGTCAAATGATCACACACTTGTAGTATTGTATGGTCCTATGAATGCAGCCTAATACCTGTATCATCAGCACCATCTAGTGGACAAATATATAGTTTTGTGAAATACCTGGATGAGAAAACTAGAATGCAGAATACTATGGGTCAGTTCATTCAAATTGCACAAATGTGATTCTGACATTCATGCAACAAATTTTTTTTTGTTTTCTTTTTCATTTTTTTTTCTAATACACCACTTAAAGGGTAATAACTTGCTTCTATGTATGGGCTTTAAATAAAAATCACTAATTAACCAGTCTCCAACAAGCAGTATCACAGTGCCCCAAAAAGGCACCTTATCAACGCTGTAGTGCATATTGAAATGCAAATCTTTTCACTATTTCATCATTCACTTCCTAATTGTCTTAATCTAAAGACACTCAATATACCAAGAAGACAAACACTGTGTGTGTGTGTGTGTGTGTGTGTGTGTGTGTGTGTGTATGTGTATATATATATATATATATATATATAAAATAAATGTGTATATATATTCTATAATAAAATTTATATCAACACCATACTTTACAATGCTGCTAATACAAAGCACTAGTATGAGATAAAGGGAGTAGGGAGACCAGGGAGATACTGTAGCAAGAGCAGCACTTCTTACTTTTTAAACCCCTGGACATGTTTTATTTTTTCTGTTCAGTCTTGTATAGTTTTTAAAGAAAGCTAGTACTGATTTTACATTAACACGTATCCAGCAAATAATTGTATACATGCAAAGCAGTGCAAAATTAGAATACAGTTTCTATCTTTATGCAAATGAGCTTGGATACAAATAATACACTGCAAGTAATTTAATGTAACCTAGGAATAATGGTTTACATGAAAGCCAGCAAGAAAAAGAACAGAGTGAGAGAGAGAAAAAAGGTGATCGCGAGATCAGAAAAATACAGTGGCAAGAAAAAAATGTGAACCCCATTGGAATTAACTGGTTTTCTGCAGTAATGTGGCAAAAATGAGATCTGATCCTCATCTAAGTCACAACAGTAGAGGAATACAATGTGCTTAACTCCTTCCTGCTGACCATACGCATATATGCTGTCTCCGTGTACTGGGCTTTTTTACGTGGGGACCGCATATCTGTCTTTTGTGCCGGGAGCCCCGGGTCTTGTAATAACGATAGGGACCTGGAACTCTCGGTTCTGGGTCACCTGATTGCTGTGATAGAATGTGATTGGCTATCACGGTGAGCAGTCACTATGAAACCTGCTCCTGTGTTTTTTCTCTCTCTGAATGGAGGGGAGAGATGCATTGCATCTCCCTTGCAGAGGTTTGATCTAGGTCATTGCCAGGCTTAGTGTTTTGGGTCATGTA